AGAAGTGATCTGGTAAGCTAACAAATGGCAGCTGCCTGGCAGAGGCTTTGCAGTGTGTATCTGAAGAAGTCATTTCTTCAGATTTCAGACATTAAATGCCTGCAGCCCCCTGAGTGCAGGGGGCATTTTGGCTTTTAGCACACTTAGAGAAGCCTTAATGGGTTTTGAAAGAGACAAGAAAGAATCCATTAATGTTTTCCTTTGTTTTCACAGCCTATTACCTACCCTCTCTGATGATCCATGCTCTGACCTGTTATAGGGCAACTAATGCAGAGGTTAATGGCAGGAAAATGTTTAATGAGTGAAGCCCTCAGAATTGGAGAGAGAATAGAGTGGAATCTCTCCTTGGAGACCTCTTGCCTCTAAGGCTGGTGGTAGACCTGAAGTTTTTTAAGGATCTTGACCCTTCTACTGCTAGCCCTCAGTGCTAAATTAACACCTTCTTTCTGCTTTGATACAGACACACTTGAATTTTCAGTTTCTCTGAGGTTGGTTTCTGCTTTTCAAAGATGAGCACTCAAGCCCTACCCTCTCTGCTGCTTGCTGAGGCATCTGTGTGCTTTCTTCTGCTTCTCAAATACCTGAGGAGCCAACCCAGCTCATCCACAGCCACTGCCTTTCTAGATTAGCTCCATACACACCTGGGAATACTCCGGTCTTCCCTATCTGTACAGTTCTCATGGAAACAAATCTAATTGGGTAGATTTACTCCACAGAAGGCGGACTAGGAAATGTATTCTTTGAGACAGATAACCCAAATTTATGGCGAGTCAAAGCCAACCAGAGTTTTGTCTTTACATAATTTCCTGCTCCTTCCCCTGCAGCGTTTAATCCTCTGTGATTAATTACACTGAGATTTACTGAGGTCACAATAGCTGGGGCAGGAGAGAGCCACGTACAAAATAATAATCACTGTTCACTCTTCTTCACGTAAGTGGTTATTCTTCAAATACTGTCAGTGGGAGTTATTTTCATTGGGTGTAATTAGTCCAGCAGGAGGATTATTACCTGTCTTATTATGGATAAGAAAGAGAAGGTAATTTGCACAGTGCTGCTGCCTTCATTCACCTGAGGACTGTTGTTGCTGTTAGAGGCTGTTGGGAATTACTGGGATGACAAGGCTCCCTCTATCCAAAGCCAGACATCAACCTGGCACCTGTGCATGGGTTTTGAAAATAAAAAATCAAACAAATAAAAAACCAGCACCAAAGCATCGATTTGGAAATCGCCTCTATTCTTCCAGCACCAGGGTAACAGCAGTGAGGTTCTGTGAACCCGGCACAAGATAAGGTTCAGGTGTTCCCTCTGCCATGCCCTAAGAATGACTTGAGCCATCCTAGGCATTGTCTGCCTGGGCTTTATTTTGGGAACAGCAGTGGCTCAGCCTGAATTCCGGGTATCTGAACAAAAACCGTTTGTCCTGTGATCCCGTTCTGATCTCCCAGGGGAGGACCGTGTGCCACCTTGTGGCTAAAATACAGATCGACTCAACCAAGGAGGAGGGGAGAGAAGGAAAATGACAGCAATTCCTTAAGCAGGTGCCACGGCCATCACCTTCTTTCAAAGGCTTCAGCAAAGTCCTGCCCTCAAAACTCAGTTCTTCTAAGGAACCCCGGGTGTTTTCATCTGCAAAGAGTGCAGAACAGGGGAGATCCTGCTCTTCACGCAGTGGAGGTACTTTTCAGTCCTTTTCTAAATGGGTGCAGGAGTTTTGGGGGCACCAGACATCACAGGCATCACAAATGCTCACAGCAGTGCTCATCTCATGCAGTCTCCTTTCTCAGGCAGCAAGTGATAGGATGTGAGGAAACAGGTGCTGGGATGGGCTGCTCAGGGAGGTGGTGAAGGCTCCATCCCTGGGGCTGTTTAAGGGATGTGAGGGCATGGTACATGGGGATGTGGTTTGGCAGTGGGCTTGGCTGGGCCAGGCGCTGGTTGAACTTGACGACAGGTCTTTCCCAATCCTGTGAGCTGGTCCCTCCCTCCCATAGTGCAGCCAAGAGACCAGGAAGATCTAAAGCCCTCCAAAGGCTGTTGTATTTTTCCCTGTGCATAAGGTGTTCCACTACCAATAAAATCACACTTTGTCCCAGACAAGAAACCAAGTGCCAAGAATTCTGTGGTCATGGAAGAAATGTGCAGCTGCTCTTGCTGGAGCCCCCATAGCCCCCTGCCCGCAGCCTGCAGGCGTGCTCATTTCCTTCCAGAAAGGTTTCCCAATCTGAAGAATAAGTGGGGTATGTTTTTGTTCCTCAAATTAATCTCAACTATTTTTAAATCAGTTTCCATTTTTGCTCCCTGCTGCTAACTGGGCTTTGTCTGCCTGCAGCATCAGCCAGAAAGCCTCCAGCTGCAGCGATCGCAGCCTGGGGGGCTGCCGGGCCTTGCAGGAGGTGCTATTGCCAAGCTGTGATCTTTATAGTCATTTTCTACCATAATTATTCTATGTTTCTATGATTTATAAAACTCAGAGGGGCCTGGTAACTGCCCTCCTGGGTGTAAAGAAACCCAGACCCCAGCAGCAGCTTGGCTACCTGGCATCATGCAGATCCCTGCCATCCATCCAGTTCCTCGTGGCACCCTGCGAGGGCTGAGAGGCTGAAGTTCTCCAGAGACACAGCAGCACTGCTGTGGCTTTTTGCCTCACCAGCCCTCCGAAGCTGACTTCTAACAGCAGCAGTGTTCACCTCGGCCTGAAGAACTTTCCTTCCCTCTGGTTCTGGATACCACCAAGCAATCACTGCAGCCAATACTGTGTATTTTCACAGCAATCTGACGACTCGGTTGTTTCTGCACAGTATGTAGCAACAGTATCAATCAGGAATTTACTATGCCCACAGTGACCTCTATTTAAACTTCTTCTTACAGCTTGCTGCATCAGCCTCTCATCCTTCTCCTGCCCATAACATCCATTGCCTCCCCACATGAACGCTGTGCTGGAATAAACCTGGGCTGGTTTTCTGACCTCCCCTAGAGCAGTTGTAAAGAACTGGCCTCCTGGGCCAGACCTGTGCATTCACTTTCCCCTTGGAAGTTGCCCAGACAAAATCCAAGTAGAAGCCTGGTTAAGTTTTGCACAGGTCCTTTGCACGTGCCTTGAATACCAATATCTGCCCAGCAGGTCTCAAGTTTCCCTCACTGACCGTGGAAGTCCCATATCTGAAAGCAAAAATGCTTCAGGGAGAAGTGCGGAAGTGGGAGGATAGCAAAACCTCCTGGCCTTGCAGGATGAAATTAATTCTTTCTCACTGCTGGCAAGGAAACTCAAACCTGCCTTGCTTACCTGCAAAGCCATTCCCTGGCAGTATGAGATTGAAAACTTTGAGGTCTTTTTTAGGAAAAGAGAAAATCCTTACAAAGTAAAGGGAATATTGCATGGTCTAGGTTTGCTTGCCTTTCTGACCTCACCTGAAGCAGGAACAAAGGGTCCTACAGGTTTCCTTTCCTAAAACAACCAAAGGAATTCAATACAGTGCCTCTTTCCCAAAGCCCTGAGGTCCAGTGCTCGTGATGCAAACACCTCTTCTTCCCTTGCGGCATCCCCACTCACATGCCACAACCCAGCTGCTCCACCACATGGCCTGAGTGAAGCCTTACACCAGCCAGTGGCTAAATAGAATTACAAATAAATAAATAAATAAATAAAATTGGAGCATGAGGAAACTATCATACAGAACTCAGATCACCTGCTGGAAATGCGATACTTACTCACAGGTGAGTGCTGCCTGCTAGGGAAGCTTTGATTCTGCTCTATTTAACTTCTCTATAGGTCCGTGTATACCTCTAATTTTAAGTCTGGCAGCAAGGGGGGGTGGGGGTGTTTCCATTGCAGCATGAGAAATTCCCAGCAAGCAAAATGTTTCCATGAGGCTGTCCATCAGCACAGGCTGCTACCGCTTCTCAGAGGAGGATGAGGAAGATGTGCTGCTGCCTCTGCCTGCGCTCAGCCCCCAGGAGAGCTCCCTGCTTTTCACTGCTGTATGAGCAACATTTTCTTTCTCCCTTACTTATTTATTTATTTTTAATACACATTCCCCCAGGAAACTGCCTGAAACACCAAAGAGGATTTCCTGCTGCCCACCATTGAAAAGCATCCCACCACTGAGAGCTGCTCCTGCTGATTAAACCTCCGCTCACCGGCTTGTTCTGGATGTCCATGACCACAGCCTTCACCCTGCAAAGTCAGCTGTCATCACTTCCAACACGTGAGACATCAGCTAAATCAATGGAGGCAGCTCAGAAATCACAGGCCATTAGTAATGCATCGATGGGTTTGAAGGAACTCTGCATTAACCAGCACAGACCCTGTGGAGCAGTTCCCATCTCCACAGATGCTTGCTTTATTCACCTTTCTGCTAGACAGATTATTCTGATGCAGCAGGCAGCCAAATTAAACTGGATTTACCCATGTCAAACAACCCTTAGGCCAGCTATAAACTATCATAGAGTCATAGAATAGCTTGGGTTGGGAGAATCTTAAAGATCACCCCCTGCTGGGGGCAAGTTGCATACCATGAAATCAGGCACCAGATCCAGCTGCCCAGGGCCCCATCCAACCTTGCCTTGAGCACCTGCAGGGATGGGGGTTGGTTAGCTGTGTACTTAGCTTGACTGTGGTTTTCTTGGCTCATGCCAGCAATGCCCCAGTCAGAGCTAAAGCCCCAAGCAGAGGGGTTTCCCTCCTGCAGAATCCCTGCTGGGTCTCTGCAAGGCAGGGCTGGATGCTGAGCAGGGCAGCGCAGGCCCCATGGCAGCCAGGATCCCTGGTTATGTGATGCAGTTTTTGTTTCCCTCATTTCTCAGTATTTCTGATCTGACTTCTAGTTCAGGCTTGCCTCTGCCTCCCCTCTTTGTTATTGTTCAGAACTCTGTGATCCAGAGAGCAGACCAGATAAAGCAACCACTGTGTCAAGTGCCTCCAGGCAAGGGCTAAGTGAAGGATAAAGAGATAAGAGAGACTCCTGGTCCGTAACTACAGAGATGGCTGATAAGAGCCTTACCTGTGCTCTCCTCTTGCAGGAGGGGTTGGAAAGGCAGCCCTGAAGCCCATGTAACCACTGCTTCACGGAGAGAATACCTGAGGAGCACACAAACACAGCAGAGCAGGGGCAGCCAGCAACCAGCGACAGCACAGCAGTGATTTCCTGGGAGCAGATCAATTAGTGAGAACCCAATCCAAATTTGAGATTAGCATTCACCAGCAGTGTAACAAGCTGTGTACTGTGGGATGGCTGACAAGGAGGCAAGCATGCGCTCTTATTTGCTTTTCAGCACCTTCAGTGTCTGAGGAATACACAGTTTGCTCCAAAAGTAATGCCTCCTAATTATTTATGCATAAACTACAACAGATACAAATAGCACCGCAGCACTCTTCGATAGAGCCTATGATCAGCTACAAAACACCATTTTTTTCTACACAGTTACCACCTCCAGCTGTGCATTTTCACCAGCATGGGAGAATTCAATGACACAGCTTTGCTTCATGCACACTCGCACGTCAGACGCCATTCTGTCAGACTGCCTCCTTGCTGCCATCTGTCACACAGCAGCAAAATGCAATGGGATGTTGATGGGAAGGTTCAATCTCTACTGCCCTCCCGCCAACGTCACCTTCAGCATCCATCCGTGTGCCTTGGGGCTGGACCCTGCATGTATGAGCTGCAGCACATCACTATGGCTGTGCTGGCCGATGTCTCTGGGTGAGATTCTCAGGCCTGCTCTGCAGAGCAGGGCCTTCTGAGAGCAAGCTGCTCTATAAATAGGCCATGAGAAACATCTCACGGGTTCAAAATTAGCAAGAAAAACACTGAGGTCTCAAATATCTCAGCAGAAGGTTTCACAATCTTTTTCCATGCTCTGACATAGCCCTATCCATGAGCTGAGGGCTGTGCCGCAGGCAGGGCTGCACGTGGGGGCCCAGCTCAGGGACGCACAGCATGTCAGGCTCAAACCATCCCTTGTGCACCACACGGGGAGCAGTGAGCACTTGCTAGTTGTGTGCTTCCTACTGCAGCCCCCCAACAAGTAAAATACTGGCTTTTATCTTGAAATGGCTATCTTACAACTGAAATATATTATGGTAGAGGGGAAAAAAAAAAGCCAAGATAACTCATTTAGGTTTGGTAAATATCTGGACTTCCCCTGTTGCAGGAGGGTATTGTGACTTGCCCTATAAGCCCCTGTTCGTTCATGAGTTGGTAAAACCATCCCCAGGGCCATTAAACTCCTCTGGGCTGTGCCCTAGTGCCTCAGGGGGCACTGAGCTGCAGTGATTACACTTCCAGCTGCTGTGAGCTCTTACAGCAGGGCTTCAGACCCACAAAAACCCCTCACAGGCTCAAAGGCAGGAAGGAAAGAAAGTCTTGGTGTGTTTTTCCTCATATCATCCCTGAGAGTGAAGTCTCTGGCATTTGCAACACCTCCAGATGAAAGAAGATGAATGACGGCTGTTGGTGACTGCCTGCAGTCTATCAACTAAAGCATGGAAATAATCAGGAGTTTTACCAATGCTTATTTGGAGCATGGTGACAATAAAGCAACACTGGCTGAAGAACTTTCCTTTCCTTACCTTTGCTGAGAATCACGGTGATAATTAAAATCAGAAGAGCATTTGACTGCTCCCAGAAGAGCTCCCTGGGTCCTCCCAAGCCTTTCGTTAAGCTGTGTACTAGAAGTCGTGCTTTTCTTCAGCCTGGGAAGAACCACTTGAAGAACAAAACGAAACAAACCATCCACAAGCAGAACTACAGTGGTTAAGCAGTCACAGACCAAATCCACTCTACTTGCCAGAATCCACCGTGGTGTACTCAGATAAAACCCATTTGCTGGGACTGTTTAACCCAGATACAGACACACACTTGGCTTTAAAATCCTGAAATAAACCCAGAAGGTTAAACTACTACATTACACTGCAAATGTAGCTTCACTTGACTGACTTCCTAAGGCAGAAAATACGATTTATTGTTTAATTTACAACTTACTGTTGGCCTGAGGCTTTGAACATGAAAGAAGAACACCTGTAGAGAAGGCCCTACAGCTGCCCATCATGCAGAGACCTTGCTCATTCTGAGCTGGATCATCCCTCATGGCATTTTCCAGGCCTCCACCTACCTGACTTTCCATTTGGTGCAACCCCACGCTGCCTCAGAGCGTTGCTCATTAACTTGGAAGGACACAGACATATCTGGCAAACAGACATCGGTGTTTCCAAGAACAAGATTGGATGTTTGTTTTAGCTATGCTTCTCCAAATTCATTTCCAGATAAGGATGAAGCAATTAAGACATGAAGCACAAAAACCCATCCAGGCCTGTGGGAACAAGTCTTCCAGCTCCCAGGCAGAAGACAGCAGCAGCCATCAAGGCAGAGGTTTGTCTGCAGGGTGAGCATGAGGTGCAGGCAGGCAGCACAGCACCTTCCTCCACAACCAGCTTGGAGCCTGCAGCTCCCCGGGTCAGCCCTCAGTTCTGGCTCTGGGTCACCGTCGCATTCCAGCACTGCCCTGCAGCTTCAGACAGATTCCACCTGAGCTCTCTGCCCTTATTGCTTCCTGCAATAAACACACACGTCCAGCAGCCCGGAGACACAACCACACGTACATCCCTTCCTCCCTTTAGCCCATTTCAGTTCAAGATAAGAGTGTTTCTCATTATTGCTCATCGCAGCAAGTAGCAATGCTGGATAAATTAATTTGTAATTGGAAAAGTGACTCAGAGCTGAAGAGAGGCATAGTGTCCTGAGAGAATAAATGCTAATAGCTCCGGCTTCCAGGGAGAAAGCGTGCCAGAAAATTAGGGGAAAAAAAAGGATGTGAACATGGCTCTCCCTTCCTGCACATATTTAAATGGCTGAGATGAGTACTAAAATGGCTGTACTTTGCCAAGTGATGGCCAACAGACAGGACCTGGGCTCCTGTCCCCATATCCCAGCACATCTCCTGCATACCTGTAGTGCGGAAGAGGGCAGCCAGCTTCTTGCCTCTTCCTCTCACACAGGTGTATGTACACCTGATGGGGCAGTAAAAGCCAGCAGTCTTATCAGAGCAGGAGCAGACTCCTTAAGTGACATAACCAGGCTTATGGTGTTCAGTGTGAGGAGCACAGTGGCACATCAACACGGAGCATCTCGCTCAGTTTAACACAGCAGGCATGGAGCTCCTCGGGTTTGTGAATGGAAACTAATCCTGAGACACTGCAGGATTTCTGTTGTGTATTCAGTTCAGTGAAACAGCTTTTACATACTAACCCTGCAGCAAAACTGCACTGACTTTAGGCACCGATGGCTGCCAGCCAGGACCCGGTGCGCTGAGCTGCAGGAGTGGCATTGGTAACATATCATTTCCTGAAACCCAATTCACAGCGCTCTCCTTCTCACAGAAAATGCAATTTCCTGCTGACTTTTACCATATACTTGTCAAGGTTTTTCATTTTTAGTGCTTGGCAAGTAAACCACGCCGTCAGAGCAAGCACCTTCCCCCATCATGGGATGAGCTGCAGCGAGGGCTGTCCAGCTGCCTGCTTCCTGGGGACCCTGTCCCAGCTTCAGCCCGACCAGAGCCCTCATACTTGAAGCATGAGGTACATCAGCAGGTAAATAAAGAGCAAATTTTTAACCTGCAGTTAAGCAAGAGGTGGTGTGGGACTTTCCAGCCCATGCTTTGAGCAAGCAGTGACTCCTGAGGGGTGCCTTAGGTGCACGGTCAGACCGATGTCACCAACTCCATGCTCACAGCAGCACTGCAACACACAGCGTTGCTGCAAAGGCCCTGCAGCCTCAGACCTCCTTGGGAGCAAAACATGAACCGTCTGTGGGCTTTGCTGCCCTCTGATACGTGACCTCATCACAGTCAAAACCTTTAAGCCAGGAGACAGTCAGGCACTGCCAACTGCTCCTGAATTTAGTGACAAGAACCACTGTTCTCCCAGAGAGGAGATGAAATGAGACAGGGTTGGGGTGGATGGGATGGCTAGCCTGGCTGCTCATCACACCCATCTATCAAATACATTCGAGTCCAGTGCTGTTTCTTACAGGAGCAGGGGTGCTGCTGTGACCTTTGCCAAAATGAAAATCAAATCCTGAGCAGCACACTTACGTATGTGTCTTCTTTGCAGCATACAAGTAGGACCTGGCCCATCTCCAGAGATCTCCTACTACCTGTTCCAGCAGGGTCCCAGGATGGCATGCATTCACTGTTGACTTTAGAAAACAGATGAAAGCCATGTATTTTGATAGGCTCTGATTCCTCAAGGTAAAAGAATAAAAGAATAAAGGATAAAACCATATCAACTTTCAGTCTCAAAAAGGCTCTTTTGTTCTTAACACAGTTCCAAACTGTGACAAACTTTCAGTGCTTCAAGGCTGTCAGCTGGAAAAAAAAAACAATTTGTATTTCTGTATTATTTCTTCTGCTACCCATGCAGTAGGACTGCCTGTATCCAGAGAGCTGAGGGCTTTTTCTGCACAGCCTGCAGTACTGATCAGCTTTGGGCTCCTGAAAACAAACCTCGGTCCCATAAAAAGATCCATCTAATAACAGCCAAACACGAGAGCTGAGATGTGGGAATTCAACGTCAGCCTACAAGATGCTGTTTTCTACCAGTTATGGTTTACATTTTCTCTTTGCATACGCACATTTCTTCCCAAAACTCTGTCACATGGCCAAGTCTTGAAGTCTCTTAGGATAACCTCTCCTAACCAAGTTAGCTAGGTGCTGTCTGAACAAGCACAAAAGGAAAGCATAGCTAGATGCTGCCTACATGGTAGTGATTCCAGTTGGTCCGGATGACCTTAGAGGTCTTTTCCAACTTGGTGATTCTGTGACTCCACAATTCCTTTCCTCTCAAACTCCCAAAGCTTACTGCCTGAACTTAAGGACTGGATCTGGACCCCTCAAGCCCCAGGAAGCCCTGCAGGCTGTCTCTGTGGATGTGACCTGCCCACTCCTGGACAGCACATGCTTGGGTTAATATAACAGCTCTGTCAAAAAACTGATGAACTGAATTTAAAGACATTTCCTTATTGTCCTTTCATGGTAAACAGTGCTGAAAATAGCCTTGAAAATAGCCTTCCTCCTGCACACACACCACCAAAGCTACGCATTTGCTATTTTTCCCCATTGCACTAAGAGTACATTTTCTACCACAGATGCTGCTTCTGTATTGTACAACAAGGGGCAAAAATAAAGAGGAACATCCAACCAACCACCCCCTGCTGCTGGCTCCCTTAGCCCCGATGCCACAGCACAGGCACAGCCACCTGCAGGGCCAGCAAGTCACCCATCTCACCGCACCGCCAAAGAGAAGGGTCCTGTTTCCTTTCATGTGCAGATACCCACGACCCCACCAATCCTATCATAAAGCCATAGAATGACTTGGGCTGGGAGGGACCTCAAAGGCCACCCAGTGGCTCCCCCTGCCATCCACCAGATGAGGTGCCCAGCGCTGCACCCAACCCAGCCTTGAAGGCCTCCTCCCAAGTCCCTGTTCTCCAAGAAGACCCTGAGATGGTTTCTGCCATCTATAGCTGTCTGCAACAGCAATTCTTGGAGCTCCTGCTGTCACTGCAAGTTGATTTCCAGTCCAGCGTCTTTACCAACCCACGTCAGATGTCAGAATTCTTTGCAACTGCAAATTACGGATGCCCAGGCTAAATCTTTTTCTAACATGAAAAACATCCATCAGCATCTACTGAAAAGCTTCTTTTTTCAAGTGTTTATAACTGTGTGGGCTCCTGGAAGTGCTGTGCTACCGTTTTTGTAAAGGACTCCAGGGCCAGGCAGAAAAAGCACTGCAAGATTTCGGCATGAATGGAAATAAAGGCACTTCAGGCTGGGTTTGTTCCCAGAAAGACAGCTTTCAAAGCATGCTGGCCTTCAAAACAGGCTGCACGCTCAGCACTGGCATGCAGACAGCAAAACAAGTTCATTGCACTTTGGGAAGTATCTGTTTCTGTTTAAAGAGATCTAGTTTCTGACAGAAGTTACTTGCAGCAAACCACAGCACTTTCAGTCAACTTCCTTCGCTCCTCCCCTTCTCCCTCCCCATCCAATTCTGTATCACACTGAAAATCATTTTCAGTGTCACGTTGACAGCATGGCAGGGTCTCCCTTCTGCTGCTGGGCTTCTGAATTCAAAAGCAGCTGCATCAAGAAGGTACTCATCCATGTGCATCCCCTTATGCTAGCTAACATACTCAGCTTCATGAAGAAAATAAGTCAGGAGGAAAATTCAGTATTATGTCCTTACAAGCTGCATTTCCTCTTGCTGTCAGAGACTTACACGCACAGAAATTGCACCAGAAATACGTTTTGCCAAACCATCCCAGAGGTCAGCTTTTCTCTGTTCATTTCCCACCTTTGCCCAAACCAGGTCTGCTCACCACCCACGGAACAAAGTCAGCAGTAAAGTGCTGTGTGCAGGAGAAACTCCAAGATCTTTCCCTAACAGCTCAGCATATGGAAAGAAACCAAATGCCTAATGAGACAGAAGTGCTCCTGGACAATAGCAGTAGTAAGGGCCATACTTTAAAATCAAACAGAAAAGCCCCAACACGTCTCTATCAGTGACAGATCCAACAAAGAACACTCACCAAGGAGCAGATAAGGGCCCCTTGCTCACCAAAAGGAGCACGTCGCAGTTCCCACCTGCTCTGGCACAAGGCCCCACAAACAATATTTACACTGGTTTCACCAAGGTAAGAATGGGCCAGTGACTTCACAGGATTTATTCAAAACAAGAGAAGAAGAGGTTTTCTTTACAGATAACCATGGAATACATCAGTATGGAAAAGGACTAGGTGTTCTCATTGACACACAGATTGCAGAGCTGCTGCTTCCACCATGAGGCCACATGAGAGAGAAAAGGTGCCCTGCTCCCTTCTGCCTGAGTTCCAGCACGGGGAGCAGAGCCCTCTCTCCTTCCTCACCGCTGATGAAGGATGGAGGCAATGTATCTGCTCGCCATGCATTCAGAAAGCACACAACAGCAATGAGAATGGCCCTGCTTAGCTTGTAGAGAGCTGCATCTCATCCATCCAGCTGCTATGTGGCTTTTTTGTTACCGGAGACAAGACAGAAAACAATTTGCCAATAATTACAGAGGTAGATTAGCAGAGAGTTAGAAAGAAGTACCAGCTTCCAGTGAGTTTTCCCATCTGTGCTTTTCAACACCACCACCAAAACATGTTCAAAATACAGCTTCTTTTGTACCAAACACGACACTGTACTGGAAAAGTAAATGGTCAATAAAACTTGATTAAAATTATTAAAAAAAAAAAAAAAAAAAAAACAAAAAACCTCCATTAAAATGTCTAAAAATATCTTGCAGAAATTCCTGAATCATGAATTGCCTCCCTTCTCACATGTCAAAAATGCCACCCGGATGATTTAAAAGCCTTGTATTTTGAAAGGCAGTTGCCTTGCTTATTCTAATGGTAAAATCAAATATTGTGGACTAGGAGTTGAGCTAATCAGTACCCAGCTTTAACAGTGATTCCTTAAATCACTGCTACAGAGAGCTCCAGGGCGATGGGAACAAGTGTCAAAGAATGTCTCTTGTTTCTCAGCAGATCAGGCTTTCAGCTGCCAGAACCCCTCTGAAGCAAGCTGAACTTTATCAGCACTTGATTCAGCCTTGTGCAGTCTCTGCTTAGAAAGCATCTCCTGTGATTCCCATACAGCATCATCAGCTGAGCCAAAGGCTCCACCAGCTGCATGAGCCCAGCCCCACGAGGAAGACATTTATTGCAGAGGCTCACACAGACACTGTGTGGATGTACCACAACGTATTGCACTGCCTTCCAGTTTGGAGAAGCTATGCCAAAGAGTCCTAAGCGTCGCAAGGTGGAAGAGCTGTCAAAACACACCAGTGCTTAGACCTAATGAACGTGACAACCCTGATTTTCAAAGTGCTTCGACGGTCGAGGCAGAAGTCTAAAGACAATAAAAACTGATTTGCTAGCAATGTACATTTCGGAAGCCGGGCAAAGTAACCTTCCCGTGAGTATAGATGTCCTCATCGGTGCCTTGGTTTAAATGCTTCACCAAGTTTTTCTCAAACAAGAGAGGGTGGTAAGCTCCCATGGTGCAGGCACGGTCGTGAAACTTCTGGTAGTAGTGGCAAATGTCCGTCTGCCGCTTAGAAGGGAGAAATTCATATACATCCACCTCATTGCAGAGCGCCATCATGATCACGATGCCTGTGCAGGGAGAGACCAACGTCAGTGCGGCCCTGGGAGCACATAAACCACTGCAGTGAGGTGAACGGCCAGGCAAGAAGCATCCCACTCCAAAGGGAAGGGTTTCCTCCTTCCTAAGTTCAGTAGAAAGTGGGAGAAAACACACCAGGCTGGATGGGGCTGTTCGGTGCAGCTGCAACACAGCTGATGGATTTGACCACAGTGAGCTGTTTACAGCGACAGCCATGCTGTAATTACATGGCTGTATTCTTATGCAGTTGTCTTGCACGTGTGATGATGTAATTGGTACAGTGCAAGGGCAAGGCAGGCAAAGAAAACGAGGTGTTTAACTGGCAGAAATCATAGAATGGCTTAGGCTGAAAGAGTCCTTAAAGTCCATTATGTTCCAGCCCTCTGCCGTGGGCTGGCTGCCCCATGAGGTCAGGCTGCCCAGGACTCCTTCCAGCCTGGCCCTGAGCACCTTCAGGAATGGTGCACCCACACTTCTTTGGGCAGCAGTGCCAGGGCCTCACTGCCCTCTGAGTAAAGAATTTCTCCCTAATATCTAATCTAAATCTCCCTTTAGTTTAAAGCCCTTGTCCTGTCACTATCAGACCACGTAAAAAGTCAGCTTCTCTGCTGTTTATCCCCTCCCTGTAACTACTGGAAGGCTGCAGTAAGGTCTGCTCTGGAGCCCTCTCATCTCCAGACAAGCCCAGCTCCCTCAAACTGTCTTCATAGGAGAGGTGCTCCAGTCCTCTGACCATTTTTGTGGCCTCCTCTGGACCTGCTCCAACAGCTCCACATCTTTTTACATAGACACAGAAGGTGCCTGGCAGAGATGGGAGTAGAGGCAACAGTGGAATACTGGCTGAAGTGCAACAGATTGATGTCCACATAGTGAACGAGACCACACTTCTGTTCTGTGACTTCAACATACATGTGAATCCTGAGGTCTGTTCCTTCTAATTGACATGGCCATGAGATTTACCTGCTGAAAACAAGGAAAAGCTTTGCAATGGAGGAACGCAAAGTGAGCCTCTTTGCTGGGAGCCTGGATTTAGCATGCTGACAAGAAATCAGCATAGTGAATCAAAGCGGTCAGTCAGACCACCCCCAACCCCGTGCTGTGATGAGGCCTTTAGCTGTATGTTTTTCTTCCCATATACATATTAGGTAACCACTCAGATTTAATCTACAGTAAATAAGTAAGTCTGTTGACTTATTTCCCTGATGAGATCTGAACCCACAGGAGCTTTATGTTCCTCTCTGCACCCCACGTAGTTGAACTGCCCTGGTTTTAGGAGCCAGAAATCCTCAAGAACATCTCGATGCTGCATTCTGCTCACCTATTCCCGCATGGAACCAGGCCATGTTTTTAACTGCTGTTCCAGAGGGGTGCTGCTTATTTTAACACAACCAAAATGATACCTTTGAGACACGATGCTTGAATTCTGGCAAAAGACAAGCACTGCAAAAGCAATTCTGATAAGCCTTCATACAACATAAATCCATAGCTGTCTTTGAAAATGGCATTTTGAAGAACTCTTATAAGCTGAACATGAAGTTTAGAAGGCAGTTATCTCACCCAACATTCCTGAAGACGGTGGGTTAGGCTGAATATGCTCTAAGGAATTCTCCTGCAGAATATCCCAGAGTTGCCACTGCATCTTTGGATTCAGGATATAGAAGGGCTGCTCTGGATGTCTAATGCGATACAACTTGTAGGCTTCAAAAAACTTGTAGTCTGGTTTTTGGTACCACTGCAAAACAGAAACAAGAGGTCAGATGGTTTTATCTGCAGCATGCCCTTGCCTACAACCAATGGCAAACAGGAAGGCTATCAGTGAGTTAACCTGCTGCTGCCAAGGGAAGAGGTCCTGCTGGATCTCTGCATGCTGCGTGCTGCTCAACCAAACCTGCCCTTCAAGTCTGTGAGGGGACTTGCCTTAATGAACAGAGGGGGAAAATCCCTATCTCCTCCCTCTGGCAGAGAAGGACTATTTATAAGTCAGCTTTCTTGTATCATTTCACTCTGCAACCCCCACAGCCAACGATATTGAGAAGTCTGTCTCAACGTTGCAGACCCCCTCGCCTCTCCACTTTGAGCACAAGGCATCCCATGCTGCAGGAGAGTTCCCACAGCACCACCTCCTCAAGCAGGCCGGGCTCATTTGCATCGTAACATTCTACTTTCAGTAAAAACACTTGGAAGGACATGTTTCCAGAAAGCTGTTCTGATACCTTTTCCTATGCCACAAATACCCCATCCTGGTTTCACTGACTTTATACGGGCTGTGCATACATCCTTACACCACTTGGAGATGTGGGACTGGGCAAAACATTTGTACTTTTGTACTGCCAGAGGGACTGCAATGCCCACAAGTGAAAATCTAATACAGGGAGGTGACGTTAGCTTACATCTTCAGAGCTATCCCACCCCATCATAATGCATGAGGTAAACAAGAATGACCTCAAAATGAGTGGTTGTTCATATTAGGAAGATGCAAGCTAAAAGCTGCACTTCAAAGCATGCATCTGATCTTATTTACAGAAACCTCAGCCTTACCTCATGTATTTCTGCATGATACGGCGCTGGATCCCAGACAATCAAGATTCCAGTGTTATACAGAGCATCCTTCAGGAACTGCTGCTCCTCAACAGTGACCAGCTGGAACGACACAACAAACACAACACGTCAATACACACCATCAGCATCAGCAGCGGAGGAGCAGCGAAGCCCACTGAGCACAGCTACAGCCACCCCTCTGCTGCTCCCAAAGCATGTCCCACAGCACACAGACAAGGACATGACTCCTGCAGCCACCCATACACCGCTGGCACAGTCTCCAACAACCTGCACTAACACAGGTTTGCCCTGAAAAGCAAGCACAGGCCACTGAGACAGAAGCTGGTCTTTTGCCCTCTCTGCCCTCAGGCTTAACTTGCATCAGCAGTTCTTTACAAGCTGTGCTTGTTCACTGTCATAAAAATCAGCTCCCATTTTCCTCATGCTCGCAGAGGGCCTAATTAAGAGCTACTCCATTTACCCTGAAGTATCTAGGCTGCCTCCAGCAGCAAACTGATCGCCTCTGCTAACCAGTGCTCAGGGACACTGCGGCTGGCCCAGATGTCTATTACTCGAAAAGCAAAATGGGTTTCCTCACATCTGTTGCCAGCTCCAGAGGATTAGGCTTTCCCTCAAGCACGAGCACTGCGTGGCCTCATTTCCTTGCAGCAGTGGCAGTATCTAGGTCACCTGCTGACAGTGTGCCCCCAAGCTGGAGTGCAGTGCAGCTCCTGTAGGCCCAGGCAGCTGGCGTGGGCTGCCCCTCAGCTGGGTAAGGGTGGGATGCCACGGGGCAGAAACAGGGTGAGGAAAGCTGCCGTTTTGTTTTCATTTTCCTGTTTCCATTGAAAGGCTGGAAATCTTCCAGGAATTTTTTCCAGGGAAAGAAAAAAGAAAGAAAATGAAAGCTGATGTGAAACACGTGGAAGGAGGATTCAAGAGAAGCTGAGCAGCAGAGGAAGCAAAGGTGGGCCAAGCACAGCCACGTGAGCCAGCAGAGGCACACCAGCCTCCCAAGGGCTGCCCAGAGGCACCAATGCCCAGCTGTAAGAGGCCAGGTGGGGCTCTGGCTCTGGGCAGCCCTATGCCCGGGCATACCTTTAGTGCCTATCAGTTCTGTCAATAGAGGGACTGATTCTTTCTAAGTACTTAAACACCACTTAAATTGCTACACAACTTATTTGTCTTGCTCAGTCTTTTGATTCTAATGAGCTGACTAATCCATTCATTTACTAGTTGAAGTTGTTCTTTAGCTAACTCATTGCTTAGCAAATATCTTGTTAGTGCTACCTGCCCTCCTGGTACAATTACCCACCAGATTATAACGAGCTCCTGCTCTCCAGCTACTGCAGTTTCTGCCCTGTAATCCAAACATGCTCTCTTTCAGCCATCACAACCTTATTTCACTCCATGGGTGTACTATCTCCTTTTTTCTCCCTGCAGACTCATTAATGCCAATATCAGCAAATGCAGCAATGGCAGAGAACTCTCAGTCACAGCCAAGGAGAGCTGTAAACAAGAGCTAAGAGGAAGCCCTTGGTAATCTGCTCCCTGGTCAGCTCAGCTGAAAGGAATCGTGTCCTACATAACGACATTAGTATTCCCCCCACAGTGTCCTCAGCACTTATTTCTGTAAGATGTGAGAACTTTCCCAGGGCAAATTGATGCTTTGCAGAAGACTACAGGAACACATGCCATTAAAAAAGCAGGACAAAGGGAACAGTCAAGGTCTGAGAAAATAGGCAAGGGAACATTAAAGAATTTCTCTATTTAGAACAACCACCAAGCTTGTGGACCTAGAAGCCCATCCTCAGCTCTGAGGATCCCAAACTTCTCCCCTGACACTATGATCATCCCATTAATCTTTCCTTCTTAAATAGCTGTACAAGATACCCCACTGTACTGTAAAAATCTCCAACTTGTGAACAAACTAACAACTGGGTACTGTTCCCAAATCTAGCTGGTTAAGTTTGTTACAGAAAATACATCGGAACAACTATTAAGCAACTCAGGGCCACTGGCCACCCATGCCAAAGGGACAGCAACGAACACAGACTAGTTTGATAGATTAGATACAGGGCATCCCACCTCCTTCATTTGAGGAGTGGACTGAGGATGGATCAGTGGCAGGAGCCAAAACAAGAGCTGCCAAGGGGGACAGCAGCAGTGCTCACACTTAGCCCAAAACTAGAGCGGTCACACGGCGTTGTTGGTGCTATCCTACACTCATGATGTTACCCTCCTCCCTGTGCAAATAACCCAGGTCACGTACATATTTTCACTGACAAACAACTTTGTATCACAGGAAGAGCAGCAATTGGCACTTTCTTCAGAGCAAGATTTCTCAAGTGATAACGCCTATCTGCCATCGTAAAGAGCACAAAAGGAAGAAGATAAAATACAGAAAGGTCAAACAGGGCAGAGGAAGGATGTGAGCTGCCAGATGTGGCTGCCAAAAAAAGACTGGCTGAACAAGGACAAACCGTCCCACATCCGAGTGCTAATTGAACACAGGGGAACTGAGAAGAGCAAGCTGCAGAGCAGAGCACAGCAGGATGCTAATGCTCCGAAGTACATTTCTTGGGCACTTATCTTCAGCCATTTAACGAGCCTACTAATACGCTATATGCAAAATCTCTGAGCAGAAAAGCAGCACAACATCCAGCACGTGGTAATTTTAATGCAGGAGCCTCAGAAGGTATCTGAGCAATGGGGAGAAGGTTTGCCCGTGTCCCTGTTAGGAGGAAGGCCATTCCCCACCATTCAGCTGGATTCACCCAGGCTGCATGTGGCTCTGGGCAGTCTGATCCAGTAGCTGGCAATCCTGCAGATAGCAGAGGGGTTGAAACTAGATGATCTTTGTGGACCTTTTCAACCCAGGCCGTTCTACGATGATTCTGTGATTCAGCTCCCAAGCAGAAGAGAGACATGGAGCTGTGCTACGCTTGGTCTGTTTGAACTTTCATCACACCTACCTGGGAATTAACAAGACGAATCGTTGTTTTTTGACCCACGTCTTCTTGAAATCCCTTGACAGGAGCCCCATTAAAGCGCAAGACGGCATCATGGCTGTCTGAAAGCAGAACAGAGTGAAAGCAGTGAGCTGGCAGCTGGCTTTGGAGCTATGGAGACTTTCCATGTGACCACATGCACCAGCAGGCATGGTGGGGACGGGCTGACAGTTGGACTCGATGACCTTGAAGGTCATTTCCAACCTTGATAATTCTATGATTTTATAGTTTACACGCACAACTTGAGCCAGACACCAAGCATTATTACACCTCAAGTGTACACTTAAAAATGGTGTTTGATGAACTCATTGTGGCATCCTGTCTGACTCCCAGTGGTTGTGTTGCGCTCAGCATTTCCTCAATTTGGTTTTTCACTGGTAACTCTCAGACCTTGTTACCATCAAGAACTCATCAAGACAAGCACTGCCCATTAAACAGGATCTCCCCATTCTGATCTACCACCCTTCTTCCTCATTTAATGTGATTACACAGACAAAATACCCCCAGCCCTTTAAAGAATAATTATTCAGCAGTCTCTTGTGCTCAACCAAGCTTCAAAGCAAAGGCTTCATTTTAAGATTTAGTTCCTTTTTGGCACCTTCCCCCAAACAAACCCCAATTTTTCCTCCACAGAAATATGTCAGACCAAAACTGGGGAAAACTGTACATGAACAGAGATGCGCTCCTAAATGTCTCATTATTCACAGCACTCAGCTGAAGGAGCAGCAGTGAGACTGGGCTCCCGAGCAGCCAAAAGCATGCAGAATCATTAGCAGAGATGCCTACTTGAGCTAACAGGTGCCAGTTTGTGATTCAGACACAAGGCCTGCTAACTGGGATGGCAGCAGGGTTAATGGCATTCGCCCAGGGCACATTACACAGTGACCTTTCCAGAATTCATCCAGTGTGATCTGGAACAGACTGATGCTTCAGCCCAGGGGACAGACTAGGAGGCTGCAGGCACAGACATTGCTCTGCACACTTGGCATGCTCTCCACTCTGCAGCAGCAGAGGCACAGCCCTTCCATTGCCTGGCTGTTCGCATCCCAGATCCAGCACTTGCATGCTGGATTACAATGTGCTGTGACAGCATCCTCAGCTCCTGAGCGGTCCCATCACAGGAGTCAGCACAAACACTGCTGGAAACAAGCCATCAGGGTGACAGGAGAGCATCAAACAAGAGATCACTTCTGAGAAAGCTCCAGCCCAGAAAGGTGCTCAAAGTCAGGTCTGCCTTCCTCGCACTCGACCCTACTTGGCCTCAAGAGTTCATCAGGAGGCTAAAACAATGACATCAAACAAATGTCAACAGCAGTTTGTGTCAGGAGGCAGTGCTGCCCTGGTTAATGCTGCCACCGCCCTTCTTATCACATCCTTCAGTGCACTTCAACACAGCTCATGCTGTTCATCCTCACCCAGCACCTGCTCCCTGCTCTGAGGGGCACCCACCAGGGACAGCTTCTGGGTACGTGCCAGCACAAACCCTCACCTCCCCACAGCAGCCTGCCACTGCAGCTGAAAGGTTTCCCTCAGTTGTTCCTGAATAATGTATTAAAGGGTTATCTGTCTACTTGTTTCAGAGGATGAGGGCTACCTCCAGCTTAGTACAGGCCAAAGGGACCTGATCCAGCTGATAACTTACAAACACACTGAAGTACTGAAGCCTGCAAGCAATTTCTACAGGAGAGAGCAATCATGCATACTCCTTCTGCAGCGAGTGAAGTGCAGTGTGAATCTTCACAGAATCCCAAACAATAAGCAGTGAACAAAGTGGGACTGCAGCCACAGGAGAATTTTCTGCCAAGCATAAAACCCAGACCTGAAGGCTGGACAGACCCTGACGCTGCTTCCTTAACGATACAAAGTGTTCTACAGTATCCACGCTCGCTTCTTTGCAATCCACACTACAAGACCAATGCTTCAGCATTTGTTACTCACTGTACTGACTTCAGATCAATATGGGCAGACAGGACTTTGCAAAGTATCACCAAACTCCACACAACAAATGGAGCCCTCCAAAGTCCGTCCTGTCCTGTGGCCGTAGCACAGAACAGACCTCAACTGCTGGACCACTCACAGTCAGCTGCCCTGCAGGCTCAGTGAGGCGGTGCCACTGTTGGATGATCACAAGCAAGAAATAGAGGAGACCTCTGAAGACTGCCCAGGGCCACTGAGCCGTCCGCAATCTGCAGATTGCTCAGGACTGTGTTCAGTGGTTGTTTTTTTTCCCTTTTGTGCTTTAGTTGTGTTGGTTTTTTTGTTTTGTTTTTTGCTATTTTTGTTACTTCCTTCTCTGTAGGAGTTTCTACTAATAAAAAAAGTTTCTGCCTCTTAAGCGTGCAATGAACACATAAGCATTACTCAACCCATCCCACACCCTCTCAAGAAACAAACATTTGAGGTTCCAAACCTCTTCCTGGTATTCAGTATTAGTTCTAGTTTCTGGTGAGGTCAACACAACCATGAAAGTTAAAAGGATTCACTATTAAGGAACTACCTGCACAGAAGTCACATCCTCTCAACTCAGTCCAATCCTTTGCACTCCCCCTTGGGGCTTACCCATTTGGCTAAATATTTTTACTTGCTGTTTTCCTGCTGAGGAAGTGTTATGGTGTTATACCATAATCAAATCTTTACAAGGTTCCAGAATTAAGACTGCAGCTGTTTTCTATCACAGTCCTTTTCATTTCTGAGAAACTGCTGCTGCTATCAGCGGTTGCTCATGGGAGCAGGCATGCCCAAAGGCTAACACTCACAGGCACTGTCACCTACAGCATCATAAGGAAGCTTACGATGTGCAGCGTTCACACTGAGAGAGGAGAAGAGCACCTCATCCTTATTCCCACCTCCTCCTAGCCTGTACTGTTCACCATCAAAGAACTGCAAGGATAGATTCCAGCTTATTTTAAACACCTCTGTGGCTCCAGCAGAGTAAGAGCATGACACAGCGTCTCTTCCGTTCAGTGCAAGTTATAAAACAGCATTGCTTGATTTTATCTTAGTAGAAAAATACCAACCTATCTCTGGTCCCAAGTGAGATGATTTCAGAGAGCCTGCTGAGGACACAACAGCACAGCGGCCCAGGCGGCCCACTGTTTCATTGAGGCTTTTCTCTGGCAGGTAGTGCTGCCATTCTGAGGAATTGAAGGGCCCATCTGATCCCTGTATCATGGTCACGTTCACCCTGTCCCGCAGCTGGCACAGCAGCTTCTCTGGGCTGAGTTTAGCAGCATTCATCTTCCCATTGTAAGTCACGTTGTACTTGTTCATGGACAGGTAGTTCTTCCTGACCTTCTGCAGCCTGGGTATGAGGTTTCTGGATGAGCTGTCCTTATCCCATACCTTCACATGGTCTGCTGCTTTCCTGGACTTCTCCACTGCTCCAGAGGTGATGCCTTTTACTTTATTTTGGTTGTTGGGCAAAGCTTTAGGCATCTGACCCATTTCACCAGCAGCTTCGTGGAAGAGGCCCTGTGATTTAAGTAGGTTCCATTTTTCCAAAGTCCTGTGAACCTGTGCATCATCACTCCTGAAAGGAACATAGTAGCTTCCTCTTGTCTCTTTCCACAGGCAAACTGTCAGAGCTATCAGTATCACCACAAGAACACACATAAATTTTTTCAGCACATTGATGTGAACCATAGTGTACGTTGCATCCAAATGGGACAGAGAGCTCAGGGCAGCAAGCTGGTCCTGGGGAAGAGAACATCTCAGTCAAAGGTACACATCCACACATGCATATAAAAATCCCACACAGCAGTTGAGGCTGTGGGTGTGGAGTGGGAGAATGCAGCAGCAATTTTAACACCTCAACCCATTTAAAGACCTCATTTCAAAAGTTCACCACTTCAAATGTCAAACAAATAAGACTTGAAGTGGCTATTAACCATCACGTGCATGTAGCAGTGACCTGGGGCTGCTGTCACTGAAACATGTTTAACACAGCTAGAAGCACACTGGCAGGAATGTAGGCCTCTGTTTTGCTCTCCTCCACCTCCCATCCCAATCAGTCAATATGCAAATCCCACCAGCAGCAATTCCAGAACTGAGCTGTCACTTCATTACAAGCCTGAACACTAACCAAGCACATAACGAGGCACATAACCATGCAGAAAAAAACTGAGTTCATGAGCACCAGGAGTTTCATCAATTGACAGCCAGCTACTACACAGGGAACTTCTGCAAACCCTCATTGGGCTGAGCATGCTCCTGGTGGGAAACCAGCTGCTGGGAGCCAATTAAGCCACAGCACGGCTGTGTTCACAAATGCTCTTTGATAAATGTTATTCAAGGTACGTTATCCTTGCAGGTAGTAAGGCTAGATCCTGTGTACAGCACTGCCCATCTCCTTATGCAGCACCTTGTGTGAGCAGTCACCTCCACCTCCCACCAGCTGTGCTATCAAAGGGAACACTCCAACAGCAGATGGCTTTCAGATGACTTTGCCTTCATGTCTTTTCTACAAAACTGTATTCCCCAGTGAAACAGTTTTATACGAACCACCTCCCAGTGGTGAGACCTCAGGAGATGATTATCTGCCCTAGCAGGGCTCTTGCAGCAACTCTCTCCACAGACAGCTTGCTCACAGCAAGCTATGCTGAGCTGTGATACATCAGAAGCCACCAATACCGACATCCTACCTGTTGGACAAAACAGTGGCTCTTCCACTCAAGTCATTTTTGACTTTTGGCAGATTTTTGTCCAGGATTTAAGGCAGGATATCTCCAAACACAACAGCTGCATGAGGCACTGAAGAGACTCAAGAAGCACCTGCAATAAATACATAAATAAATAAATAAGAAGAAGAAATAAAACTATCATGGAAGAACCTCGTGGTTTCAAGATGAACGTGCATTTCCTCAGATAAGTGCAGCAGTCCCATAAAAGCTGTCATCAGGGCACAAAGTGTCAGCAGCAGAAACATGAATAACACATCAGCTTTGTGTGTCCATTCTCTCAGTGAAGTAAAAACCCCGGTGCTGATGGTTAATGCGTACAATGAGCATTGCTAAGAGAAAAGGAGATGAAAAAACTTAACTTTTCCCAAGAAAACATCTTGCTAATTGCTCTTCAGCAATTCAGGTGCTCCTCCTCAAACACAACTGCAGACAACTCCTGGCCTTTTTTGGAGCAAGAAAGAGCGAGCAGTATGAAAAATCACTTTACAACATATTACTTTATGCACAGGCCCTCACAAAATACTGTCTAGACAAATCTTTTGACCTCACAGCTTCATTCTAATCAAGGAAATACTGCAAGAGCAGGCGAGATTTCACAGGGTGATATGTTTCAAGAAGTAGCTTGCTTCTGCAGAACACCAAGTCAGGACAATGCCATGTAAGCTAAATTACAGATGTACAGTACACAGCATAAGATTCTATACATCTAATGCTGACTACTCGTATTTTAACTCTACTAAGAAACTCTGAAAAACCCAGTGATTTCACACAGAGCAGCCCACAGCTGGTGGGCATCCTTCTACCCCCTCTGCGCGCAGTTCCGCTGCAGACAGCAGTGCTTTCAGAATCTATAAATAGAGAGAAACAGAAACCCCCAAATGAGCCATGCAGCACCAACCAGCTCAGAGCAAAGCTCCCAGGCTCCTTCCGCCTCCCTTCCAGCACACACTGGGCAGGCTCCTAGCCAGACTTCATTCGCCTTGTGCTTCTTGACACAACAGCGAGGGGCTGATTTCCAGGAATCTTCAGATGTAGGCAATAGCAGAATGTCTCAGCACTGCCAGCTTGTGTTCCCCATAGTGAGGAGCACGCAGAGGAGCCTAAAAATTTACATTCTGCACTTCACACAATGCAATTCCCACCTTGATAACTGTGCACACTGCAGTGGGAACAGTGATTTTGCTTTGACTTGTAAGTAAAGAGGCTGTTTGTTGTTTTTTTGGTTTTTTTTTTTTTAGCAAGGGGAAAGGCAGCCTGTTCTCAAGGATAGCACTCACAGGCTTAACCGCCCAGGTGGGCAGAACCTCCCTGCTCTGGCATCCTGGAGGCTTTCATCCCTGCAGGGAGCTGCAGCCTGGCCTGGCCTGGCCCAGAACCCCAGCTCATGGTGCTGGTGCCTGCTGAGTGGTACAAAACAGCTGCCCCAGCCGGGTAGAGGAGGACAGCTGGCAATCTGCATTTCCATGACCCACAGCAGATTTACCCTAGAAACGCTTACCACAGCAGCCCCACTGTGTTAGACATAATAGCCTGGCAAGCTCTTATCTGTTTTCTACAGTGATCAGTAAAAAGCTTAGGGATCAGCCCACAAGGATGCCCCCGCACGCACACTCTGGCCATGCAACCCTGCAGACCACAGCTGGATTGCTTTGGTCACCTCCCAAGCCCATTCACCTACATCCTTTGGGGCCACATTCCAAGGCCCCAGCTCTGTACTGCCTGCAGTGACTTCAGGCCATGTCGCAAGTGGGGCTGACTCAAATCTGTTCCGTGGTAATAAACCAAAACCACAGAGCTTTATGCCACCTCTGCTAACACAGCATCCTTGGCTGTCGTGCTGCCCAGCTGCCTGGGACTGCTGGCTCTCTGTGGTTTTCCAGTTCTCCCTCTGGTCCCACCAGCCCTCAGGATACATGCCTTGCCATTCCTCTCCTCCTCAGATCAGTTACTGCAGTAGAACAGCAGGTACTAGGAGTGATATTAGCTTGTGGGAGCCCTGTGGTGTTGTGGAATCTGACGCCTTGCTTCTTACCTGCCAGGCAATTCCTAAACCAGCACAGGAACTTTCTTACCCCATGACAGCTCAGGGTTTTCCCAAGGCTCTCACCAAACACTTGAAAACTCAAGCACACTGCCTCCCTTTCGATGGGCTTGCTAACTTCTTAAAACAAGAAAAGAGGAAAAAGGCAAACAGATCTGAAATGTGATCCTCTTCTGCAAACAGAGGATGAGATGGAGGTGCAGAGCAGGACTCCTTCCACTCAAAATAAAGCGATACTCCCAAGGAAACTGAAAAGGGGAAAAAAATAAAAGGATTTGAGAAGTTATCTAAAGTTCCCATCTGTTCTTAAAATCTCCTGTTCCTGTCCTGGGGAAAGAGATCATCAAGACTATAAGTGTAAAGAAGCTGTGACTGAGTCATTTTATAACAGAAGAAACAGTGTTTTTCATAGACTCATCAGGTGAAAACTGATAATACATTAGAAGTGAACACACTGTTCCTCCCAGAGCTGTTTCAGTTCCCTCTGACGCTCTGTCCAACCTGGCCTGTTAATTCAGCTGCATATATTTCCGTTTTGTAATTAGATAAACAGAGTAGACTCACTTACAGCAATTCCTTGCTTTCTCTCAAAACATCACTGCGCTGTGAAAATAAAACAGCTGTTGAGCCATGAGCTGAAGCAAGCACTTCCAAAGTCAACACATGCAACAAAAGAGAGAAAAAAAGTGAAGAATGAGCAGAAGTGTTTTAAGTGAGGAACGTGGTTAAATTTCAGATGACACACGAAGAAGCCACACAGTCTGGAGGGAGTAGGCTGAGAATACCATGCTTATCTCAGCAAGGCACATGCCTTGCTTGGTGGGCTGCTCACACAGTGCCTCCATGAGCACAGGGACAAGTTCTTGGCTGCTGGGAGCAGCACTGCTCCACCACAACACTGCTTCCTATACAGGTCACAGCTGCCTGCCTGATATTTCTCATTCACAGTAAGGGGCAGGGAAGGGACCTGTTATGGCCTCAGAGCCTGCGGGTAAAGCAGGGCTCTGACTCCACGTCCCCACTCAGATGCCATCTCCTGGTGGGAGATCACTTCCAGGGATGTCCTGGTGCTCATTCTGGGCTGGGAGAAGCTCTCAGAGCTCAGCATAAAACAGAAGTCAGCTCACGGTGGGCACATGCTCATGGGAATGTGCTGTGAGCAGCGCTGCCATTGATGACTTTTCCAACAGTAAAGCCTCACTGCAGTAAGAGATGTGGAAAACACTGCTGGTAACAAACCTTTCCAACTTCTGAAATTGCACATTTCATGATCAAATTCAAAAAAGAGAAAGGAAGTGGGTAATGCCACCCAATAACCACCGACTCCCAAGAGTGTAACTTTGGCCAAATCACAGAATTGTAGGGGTTGGAAGGGACCTCCAGAGATCATCGAGTCCAACCCCCATCTGGAATCTGGAACCCTCTGACATCACAAATTTATCAGTGAGGCTTCCATCATCAGCCAGCTTTACCATAACCTTTCCCACACCAAATATTCCTCTGAGCTAAGAAGACAAGGGTTTGAGCACTCATTTAGGACTATTTACTTTACATTATGCCTTCAAATTAAACACCACCACTTCCTCATTTTCTCTATTAATGTGTTCCTCTAGGGCACTCATCGTTCAAAATAAGGGCAGCACTTGTTTATTTTAAATTAGCAGCACGCAGCAAGCCAACACTTACTGCCTCTGCAAATATCCCCACTCACCAAGACACCCAACCAGCATTCCATGGCCCCAGGACAATAAACAGCTCTGTGCCAGGCACTGCTCAGCAGCCGCTCAGGGTAAGGCTTCCATGACGCCAGCCTCTTGCAGGTGGGTGTGATATCTCTCCATCTCTTCCAGGACCACGCAGTCACTCTTTACAACGTGCTCAAAGCAGAACCTAATTCAATTCAAACAAAGGGATTGGAAGGAGCGTGCAGAACTGCACATCTACTGTTTCTGGGCCCGGCCCAGCGGCGCTGCTCAGATTTGGTTCTTTGCTTCCCATGCAGAGCACCCCAGGGCAGTGCTCGTCACCACAGCTCCCCCACGATGACAACCATCGCAGCCCACCAGAACATGTCATTTTCAGAGAATGGGCAAAAAGAAGTTATTGTACACAAATTTCTATTACTTCTCTGGCACAAAAAAAAAATAAAAAGTCAAAATATTCCCTTTCAATGCAAGGAACCTGAGTATAGGAAAAGAAATATCCCCAGGAAGCTGTGAGCACTGAACATAAGCTATTGAGGAAATCTGCATCCAGGTTAAGTGTCAGGGAGGAGCTGCTGTAACAGACACGCAGGAATCCAGATAGCAAAACACACCAAATGTTGTTCACTGTCGAAGCAGCAGCCAGGTTCTCAGAAGCCAAAATATCTGCAGTAGCAGATGTCAAACACACGTTGTGCCAAGGCAAGTCGGGGAGTCACGTCCTCACGCTGCAAGCTCGTGGTCTATCTGCCTTTGGATGCGAACACCAGCAAGCACAGCTCTACCTTGGCTTTAACCCCACACTGACATTTCAAAGATAAAATGCAGGCTGATAACGTTAAAACGAACGGAAATATTCAGCATAAATCTAAGCATCTACGTATGCTTAAAGCCATTTCGAGAGCTTAAAACACTCCTCCCCCCTGCACCCAAAGTTTCACATGTATACTTACAAAACCAGAAAACGTTATTGAAAGTTTCCTGATGAAGGCTTTGCCTGAAACCTCCTTGCTGTTTTTCTCAGCACCCCCATAAGCACAAGGGAAACCAAACACATGAGAGTGCTGCCCATCCAGAACTGATGGCTGTGCCCCTGCTGAGAGCCCAGCAGCAGCCATGCCATGCACTGCACAGAAATCCACCCAGCAAACATTCCCCTCTGCCTCTTCTCCCGTCACAAATCATGGCAGCATCACAGTGAAGGATCATGGTGGTCATGGGGCATGACACAAAGTGATCTGAAGTGCAACCAAGCAGTTAAGGAAGGTAGACGCAGTTGCTGGAGTGAAGAAAACACTATGCTAGGGAAGCTGAAGGGCAACAAAGACCACTGCAGTTTTTAGCCTCCCTCTTTCCTGGAGTGGAGCATGCAAAGCACCACGACAGCCAACCTCAGCACAAATGTGTTTTTTTATCAAAGCCAGGTAGCGACTTGCAGGCGTGGAGGAAGAGCTTTAGACAGACCAATCCAACAGAAACATGGGCTGCTCCCTGAAGCAACAAAGGAGGCCCAGACATTCCTGCATCCCTCCGCGCAGTGCTGGCTCAGCACTGGGTTCAGCACAGTGTTGTTGCAGGCTGACAGCTCTCATGTGACCCAGAACTCCCAGAGACAGGGAAGGCACCCACCCACCCCCAGGAGAGCCAGAAGGAGGGATGGGGCACCGAGGGGAGCTTTAGCCAACGCCTGACTCCTTCACAGCCAGATGAGAATGCAGCTCCCAGGAGCGGGCTGCACAAACACACAGCACTCTCCCCTCCCCTTGGTGCCACCTGGCCATGAAGTAACCAGACTTCTTCTTTCTGCACAGAAACTCCCCTAAATAAAGAAGTCAGGCATCTTTTGTGCCCAGGACGTTCAGTGCTACCAGTTATGACACTCACTTCGCTCCTGACTTCCACCTTGCTTTCTGAGCAAACTGCCAACAACAGAGCACCTCCCCAGCTATTAACAGCTGGAGGAACAGCTGTTGTTGGCCTGAGGTGAGTACACACACAACAGCATTAATATACAGTTTGTGCCCCAAGAGGAACCCATGTTTATCTCTACAGCAATTTCTACTTCTGTAACATCACAGATCAGCTCTATTTAAATACAGCGTTAGCCTCTTGCTCTATCACTGGTTTTGTCCTTAGGTCAGCCATCTCACTGCACTGCCAGGACTGACTGTATCTTCTTCATTGAGTGAATCCTAAAAGGAAGCAAGCACTCAAAAACATACATGTAGCACGGGGAGCAGCTGATCCTTGCACTCCTGTTGGCATCCTATGCCATGAACTGCAGTCAGCCAAGTCGCTGGAGCACTGCAGGATGTGAGGCCATCCTGGAGAGCTTTTCCTTGCCTTCCAATCATCTTGAACCTGTTTGATTTGCAACTGCTTCCCAGCAAGTGTGGGAGTGATCTGCAGGGCAGCTTCAGGAATGTGCTCCTGATCCAGAGGACTGCACTGCAGCAGGAGGCTCTGCCCTCAGCATTAACTAAATCCATGGTGCATCACTCTCATCCAGGAACCCAAGCCTCAGAAACCACAGTTACTTAAAGTTGCATGCCCATGAACCAAACAGAGAAGGCCAAAGCACTTCACTGAAGCTTCCTCCATCTCTAAGAAAGGAGACTGAAACTCAGCATCAAACAGTCAACATTCACACGAACCAGACTTTCACAAATCACAGAGAATACTGCAAAGCTCTCCTCTCAGACTGGGCAGCAAACCACAGATCAACAAAATGCCTTAATGGCTTGCACAGATAAGTAAACATGCTAAAATCAACTCAGAAGCAGACATATATGCTTATCTGCAGATTAGAAACCCGGATTACCTTCACCTGCAAGCAAAATCCAAACGAGCTCTTGCACGGCAGGCTACCACAGCTGCTACGGCTCACAGGAAGTCTGCAGGGTCTGGCTGCTTTCAGGCAAGAGCTGCTGTTTTCATACTGCCGTCATCTCGCACCCAGCAACTTCCCACACGGTGCTCGAGCCTGCAAAGCAGATCTCATGTCACCTCCAGCCTCCGTCCAACCAATGTGAAGCAAGGCAGATTCTCCCTGTCGCTTAACATTTAAGCTCAGCTCAAAAGTGGAAAGCACTGGGCTTAAAGTTCACCTGACTTCAAACAAGGCTGACTTTGATCTAGCTCAGGCCAAGCTTTAGGTTAAAGTTACTCATTTATTTTATTTAAACAAACCTGCCTCCTTTTACTCGATTTTAAGGGGAAGCCCCTATCCCCATTTCCCAGCTGAGGACAGGCAGCCAGGAAAAGGCAGGAGTTCAGGCCAACAGCTAGAGAGCAAAACACAGCCACCCGTACCTGTGCTGCCTTCCAGGCTAAGGGGCTCTGAGCGGGCCCCAGGAAGCAGCCCAAGTGCTCACTTTCTCTCTAGCCAAGGCAGCCCCTCCAGTAGTGACTGTGTGGGAAATAAAAAAAATCCAAATTATTTGGGAATGCTAGCATAGTCAGCTGAACCTAGCTGACCCTTCATCTCCATGAATCCAAGTCCTCCTGAGGAAGGAATCCTCCCCAGCAGTGTACCCCTGCTCCTTCCCACAACTTTCCCCATTCCAGCTTGTCATAATGGGATCCATGGTTCCACCACACCATGCCTGAGCTTGCCAGGAGATCTGAAGGCACACAGCAGGGCCATCGTGGGGTCCGCCTGGCAAATCTCTGGCACAGGACTGATTTCCAACACAGGCAAGAGAACCAAAAGTCAACTCCAAACACAGTCTGCTGTATTTGGGTGTGAGCACAAGCAAGACGAGCATACAGGTGCACAGCTGCCTCCTCTGGTGTGCATGAACTCCAGTGTTTGGGGAGCTTTTAGAGTCCATTGGAAAGGGAATGAGGGGGTTAACTTCAAGTTTCCTTGTTTGGGCAGCACTGGTGCTTTGTCATATTCGAGAAGGACTATAGATAAAGCTTTATGGAGGTGCAGTCTAAGTTGAGACTTCATACGTGGTTCAAGGTGAAAAGAACCTTCATTTACCTGAGCTCCTCTCTTCTCTATCATCCCACTCTTCTGCAAGCACGCAGCCTTTCTTCCCACCCTTGGCCAATCACACCATAAGACCCTCACTGTCTCCTCTCTTTTAGGGGAAGCTGCATCATTGCAACACGAGAGCTAACAAAAGCTAGTAAAAAGCCAGAGTCCTCTACAACTATTTTGAGATTACTCATTCGCATTTCAGTGTTTTCCCCCGCCTCCAAGATTCAGGTCAATTCAGCTAGTTTCTGCTGCTCCCACTGAAATGTATGTATATCTCTATATAGGATATATTACAAACACGTATGCTTACATACTTATGTTCTTATATCCCCACTGATCACTGAATTGGAAAAGAACGCATTCAGGATAAAAAAGAAATTGATGCAACTGGGATAAAGGCTTTTTAGAAAGCTGACCAACATGCATAGAGACCACAATGGTATGTCATCAAGGGAAATGACTACAAGTCATCCTCTCCAACTTCTTTTTCCTCTTTCTGAAGTGTTAAATATAGAAATAGCCAGTTAAACAAAATCATTAGTTTAGTGAATATCCTCTGAAGCCTGAACAATGATTTTCAATTTCTTCCCAAAGTACAGCAGTAATATTATCAGCTTGTCCCAGTTCTACAGTTCTTTTCAACTTGAACCACGTATGAAGTCTCAACTTAGACTGCACCTCCATAAAGATTTAACTATAGTCCTTCTTGAATATGACAAAGCACCAGTGCTGCCAAAACAAGGAAACTTGAAGTTAAACCCCCCATTCCCTTTCCAATGGGCTCTAAAAGCTTCCCAAACACTGGAGTTCATGCACACCAGTACAAGCAAAGCACAACACCTTCCTCAGCTGCTCCAAAACCTCATGTTGTTCAGAGCTCAGCACGGAGATCACGTAGTGCTTGACATATACAGCCTGCAAAGCAACCCCAATCAGACCAAGCTGGCCTTCTTCAGACCACAGTCACCTCCGGGTTTACTCACCTGCTCCTGGCCAGCTCACTCACAGAGAAGACATGAGTTCCTTTCGAGATCTCTGCAGGGCACAGCCAGAAGATCTGGCAGCTCAGAGGCATGTGAGAGAAGGAAGCTGGAAGGAAGTTTCCCATGTGCTTACCTTGAGGCAGTGGGTCCCTGCACCCTTTGAGTCAGTCAGGGCTCTGCGCCGCCCAGAGATGAAAGCACTGCATTCAGCACTATCTGATCAAACAAGTGCTCCAGCAGCTAGCACAGAGGCACCTGTGGTTAGTGTTTAATGAAACCACTTTTCTGACTGCAGTTATTCTTAAATGAGCTATTTTTAAGGGGTTGGGGATGCACAACACCCTCCAGAGCTGCTCCTGTGTCAGTGCAGTGCTGCCAAAGCAGCTCCCACCATACAGCTGCTTCTGCCAGCTTCAAGTGCGACCTGGTGGAACCAGGCACCTTCCTAACATGCCTGCATCTCCAGCACTCTCCTTCCTGGGACATCCTTCTCAAGCCCCTTCACTCTCCTTCCAGCATTGGCTTCATATGAGGGAATGCTTAAATTTCTGGAGCTCTTACTCAGGCTGATGTGGTGGGCAGTTACTCTCCTGCCTCAGTGAGACCCTTACATCCATCTCCTCCTCCTTCCCTCCATGAACATCCCCTTTTGGAAGTCCATTTCTCATCTGCTTTTTTTTGGCCAGCTTTTCTCCCATCTCTCCCAGACCCGAAGCATGCAGTGCCTGTTCCCGGATTCCTGCTCACCAAGATGCTGTGCATTTCAGAGCTGATGTATAAGTCCCATAGGATGCTTCAAGTCAGAAGTAATGCCTCAGGTGGTCACTTTTATCCCCAGGAGCTGGCAAGTAGCTATAGCAACTGCATCTAGAAACCTGAAAAGGCGGCAAGCAAGCCACCTGCTATGCAGTGACCGGAGCAGAGTACAGCTCTAACCCACACCAAGGGCACTGCCATATTACATCTATAAATATAATAAACATATGTGCATATACATAAAACCAAATATAAGCACATATTTACACATAAGCACGTACACAAGCATTCCTTTAAACCCTGATGTTGCATAGCATTAAATAACACCACCATGACTTCAAAATAACATACGCAGAAGTGAATAAGCCCAGGACTTTTGCACAGACCTCATGAATGTGAGACAGCAAAAGCCTTAATCAGGCAGAAGCAGGTTGGTACCAGGAGACCTTTAGATGCATGCACAAATGGTCAGCTCCAGGCTGCTCAAAAACTCATAGAACTGGTGGAGCCATCCTGAAGCAAAATGGCCCAGATGGGCTGGCAGAATCAAGCACGAACAATTAATTGCTTCGTTATCTTATGCAACACTTAATTACTCCATTATCTTACACGTACTTAACTACTCCGTTATCTTATGCAATACTGTTATGCACGCATCACCCTTTAGAGGGAACAGTATTTCAGCACAGGGTCCAAGCTATTGCTCACTGTGCTCAGCTGGTCCAGACACCCACCCTGCAGAACCATGCTGAAGCAAATGCAGGATGCTGAGCCTTGGATCATCCTCATGTGTTGCAGTGCTCCTTCTGGCCCCAGGTAGTGCAGGGCATCGCTCCAGCAGCAGGCAGTGCTCTGCTCCACCCCTCCCTGGCCACTGCAGGGAGCCATGGGGTGGGGTGAGCTTTTGCTCATGCTTCCCTATTTCACATGAGCCAAAAGTAGGAAAGAGAAACTGCCCTTTGCCATTTCGGATACTGACAGGCCAAACACTGCTGACAAGGGGCTTGTGCAGACCAAATGCACCCCTGATTTTCAAACGCTTAACTCCCCCAGCAGCCTTTGCAAATTATAAGCCAGGCCTAACCAAGCTACCTCATCCAAAACCATGTTTAGTAAAAGGGGATTGGGTTTGGCTGACCAACAGAAGGACTTCTCAGCATTTCTAAAGGAGATGAAGACTTTGTCCTGGCACAAACAGAAGGAAAGTCCCCAGTGCACTCAACCGGTTCAGAGAATGAATACCTCCGCATTAAAAGCAAAAGCTGTGCTTTAGAGGTCAGCCTGGCCTTAGATTTCTGGTATCCTAAAGACTGGCATCCAACCAAGGCCAGAATAACACTCACTGTTGCAAACTTATGCTTCACAGGAGCAGGCAGAGCTGCTCTGTGCTGCCAGAGCTCCCCAGGGAGGCCCAGTCCCACTCCCACCCACTGCAGCCCTCCCAGATCCTGCCAGCTCACCAGCGAGCCCAAGGCCATGCCCCAAGACAATTCTTTGTCCCATCAGCTGAGGATTCTCACAGAGGAACACAGAAACAAACCCAAACCAAACAAAAACCATCGTTTCCAAAACCAGTGTTTTAGACAGGAAACGTTCTGTGGCTGGCCTGCTTTATTTGCTCCCCTTATCCACACCAGAAGCCCTCCCCAGCTCCGTTTCCTTCTTGCCCCACGAATACAACAGCTGCCAAAGATGCCCAAGGCAGCCTGCCATGCCCTTCCTCTCTCCCCTCACCTATCTCCAGCAGTGCATCCCCAGAGCCCTAGCACACCAGCCCTGGCAGCAGCATAGTGCTGCCTGCCCCATGCACAGCCACCCCGCAGCCCCTGGCAGGCTGAGCAGCTCCAGCACTGCAGCTCTTCAGTTTGCAATGCTAAAGGTAACACAACACTGAGAGGCACAAGCGTTCCTGGCCAGAAGGAAAGAAAGAGGGGGTGCATTTTCCATGTTAAAAATGCAGGTTTTACACAGAGGAGGGAAGATTAGCATGTTTCCAGTGATGGAGGAAGCAGGGAGGGGGCAGAGCCCCCCCTCATCTGGCATTCCTGATACCAGGAAATTAAGGATTGAAAAAAGCAGCTGGACAATGAAATCCTCTCAAACTCTCTTCACGCATGAGAACAGGCACAAATCCAACACCCATAGCTACAGCCACCTCTGAAAATTCCCTTACCAAGTTCGCTTTCCTTTGTTTTCCCTTTGTACAGGAGAATGTGGTGTTAAATAAAGAGCCCAACCAAACACTCCCCCCAGGGCTCCTGGCACCAGAACCTTCCTTGTCAGGATACCCAAAGCCTTGCTGTGTGCAACCAGAAAGCTAAATGGTGCACACTAACTGTATGCCAAAGGGTAGCCCATTCACACAATTATGGGACTAATGAGGCCCCACATTAAAGCACAGAGCTCTAGGAATATTCTCTATGTGGTACAGACCTTTTGGACTAGCTAATCATTCAGGGAAACAGTTAATGAATGCTTGCAGAGGTGTGATAAGGGTAGGCTGTCAGCAAGAAAGAGAGATGGAGAGGGGAAAAGTGTAGGGGTAGCAGCAGTGAAAGCACAGAGATGCCCAGGCACAGCCAGATGAGGTCAGCTATGAACCCAGCCAGGTAAAATTCTCTGATCCAGCAACACAGGCAGTATCCCCAAGGATTTCTGGGGAAAATCCTACCAGAATGAGCCCCTGCACGCACACAGGAGTTTCGTGCAAGTCAGAATAACCAACTGGATCTCGGACATTTATCTCTGAGGCTTAGCTAGTATATATTAATATCCACAAAAGCTCCCACAAGAAGCAGAATCAGTGTTTTCTTTTGCTTTACAAGAAGTATAGGATAGCTGCAACAGGAAGAGTAGAGAGCCCTCCCAGTTCTCCTCACCTCCCTCCCAACTCCACATGCAACACGAGGCAGTCCCAGTGCAAACAGGGGCTTCAAATACACGTGACCTTACTGTACTGGACAGCAGCCATGCTCTCACTGCCAGGCCTGTGCAAGCAAGAACGGGGGTAGAGAAAGGAGGGGACTTGACCATCACCTTCATTTCCAGGATGCTTCGCTGTCCTCAGCAGCTCCTGTCAAACTCTTCCAGTCACAAGGGGGTGGCCAGGTGATGTCCAGATGAGCCACTGCCACATCTGTGCCATGCAAGCAGCTCTTCATGCCCTCATCTCACTTCTAATCGAGTTTGCTGGCCTAGGAAAGAAATTAAGGAGACCAGGTGAGACAGTCACATCAGCCAGACTGGCTAATCAGAAAATACAGAGTGGTGAAAGCAGTGACTGAGCTGCCAGCACCTTTAAACATGAGTTGTGCTCAAGTAAAACTGCACACATAGTCCAAACAGCAATCAGTGAAACTTTCCTGAGGACCAAATCTGCTGGTCGTGAGCTGTGGGCTGCAGAACAGCCCGAAGTCAAACACCAGGACGTGAGGTCAGAGCTCCTAACACAAACATGTGGGCTGGTGAAACCCCATTGGGCTGAACTGTGGGCTCCTAAGGAAGTTTCAGAACCACAGCCTCTATAAAGCCCCTGCACATGAGGGCTCTCTGCCTCCTGGACTGCCCATAGACACGGTATAGTGGAGCAGCAGTGCACAGCACATATCCCATGGGCCTGGCCAGAAGCACAGCACGGCCTTTACAGAGTTCATTTTTTTTAACCTCTCCCCTACATCTAGCAGAAACATGGTGCCACAACAACACGTGTCCCAAAATCCTCTTAAATAAGACACTAATCACAAGACTGTTTAGCAAGTCAGTGCACACAATCCTCCCGAAAAACACAGCCTCCCATAATTACGCTGCCCCAGGCAAGTTCCCAGTGTGTGCACATGGCCTGGCATGGTCTGACCCACACAGCCAGCAGCCCAGCTTCCAGCAGGGAGCCCAAGTGCTCACGGGGCTCACAAGTTATATTCTCCAAATGTGCATACAGCTATCTACAGCACCAACACCAGCACAGCCAGGAATACCTGCGGTTGCTGGATGGGAAGTTACCCTTGTGCCAAGGGATATGGCCAGTGGGTGATACTGGTGGTAGGCAGACAGTTGGACCAGATGATCTTGGAAGTCTTTTTCAACCTTAACGATTTGTTATTAATTCTTTTACTCTTCTTGCCATAGGTCATAAATTATGTCTCCTCCCCCTTTCCTCAGCTTAACAAATGCCTCAGGGCTGCTCTGGCAGAGGAAAACACTCCACTGTGTTCTGGTAAAAGAAATCCTGTTTGTTTATTGCTGTTGCTTAATGCTGTTACATCCCCGAATCCCATCACAAGTCTTTTAAAATATTGGAAAAGGGAAAGGAAAAAAGCATCACTACAATACCTCAAAACAAGTCATGCTTCTGGAGTGCTGCCTGCATGGAGGCAGATGGGAAAAAACAAACCAAATCAATGACAGCCATGAATTTTAAAAGTATGTGTTAATATGCAGCAATGACCTCAGTATGCCATCTCATTTCTAGCTCAGGTAAGCTTGAGTTTCATCCGTTTTCATTCACTTCCAGTGTGAACTAAACAAAATTCAATTAAAGAGCGTTCACAGTGAAACTTAACACCATTTTTTACGTCACATTTTAATTAAGGATTAGCTCTAAAATTTACATTCTTTTTCTCCCTAGTCTAAAGGATATGACTCTTTATCCATTTAATTAAACAATCCACAAATATCTAATAAAATATTCATCTGTCTGCACAACCATAATAACAAGGAAAGCTCCTAAAGCCTGAAATGCACGTTGCACTGCATCACAGCAGTGCTGTCCCTCTGAAGGAGCCTGGTGCTTTGCACAGAGAGGTGATGAAGGAGTACAAGATGAACTCCTTACCAGCAGCTCAGCCAAAACCAGAGGCTGCTGAACCCCTAACATGCTGGTTATGCATGTGAACCAATACACTTGCCCACAGATTCCTGGAGAGAACTAGTGCAGGATTTCTCCCAGGATCAAAACCACAGCAGAAGCAGAGTTGTGGGGCTGCCACACCACCCTTACCAACCAGGGCGAATGGGGAACGAGGGATTCCACTAAGAGAGGGAGGGAAGGCAGCTACACCACACGTGGCAATGAACTTGTCTTTTCCTCAGGTGCAGACTTGAAGGAATTCCCACTGGTTTTCCAGAAGGCGCTGCTAACCACATATGAAATTGCTGAGCCACAGCAACAGTACCTAAAACATTCCCAGCCAAAACCCACACTTGTAACAGAGCAAGTAGTGACAGCTATAACAAGTAGCACATTAATCCACAGAAAATGAGATTCCTTCCATGCAGGTCTCCAGCAGCTCTTTCCCCAAAGACTCATGATCCTTGTATATGGCTGAGGGCTCAGCACAGCCCGCAGACATCCATACAGCATGTGGGGTCACTGCTCAAAGCCAAGCTTTGGTTGTGTTTCCAGACTCCTCAGCTCATAGGTAAACTACCCATTTGGCCAGACTTCAAGATGGCTGAGCCAGAAAACTGCAACAATCCCCTCGGTCCCCAATTTATATCATGAGCAGACAGTCTGACTAACTCATCAAGCGAGTCATTCTTCAATTAAAGTGTTCTTCCAGTAACGTTATTTTGGCTTTTCCAGCTTGGCACTCACATCTCAAATCACCCCTTCATATTACAAGCACAATAAAGAATTTCAATCCCTCCTCAGCCTTAAAGAACCCCCGTGACTATTGCCATCCCTGCTCCTGGTTCTTCCAACCTGAGCCCCATCCCTGTTCCACTTATCCCTCAGCCTTCCCTTCCTCCTCTCCACCACCCTGTGCCTCTCTCCATTGACTCTAGCACACCTGTCGCTTTTGTTCCTTTATTTCCTTGAGTTGGTGCTTTCCTGATTCTCTGCTAGGACTGCTGCTCTCCCAGCACAATGGGTCACTTTCAGTCCCAAAGGGTGCCAAGAGTTTTGCATCAGGAAGGAGGAAAAGCTCTGCTTTCCTCCACTGACACACTAAATGCCTAGCAAATTTGCCCACTGTCAGTAAGTTACCGCCTTTGCACTCGTCAGTACCAGATAAACACCTCAGCTCCCTCTCCCAGATGCTCCTCTGTAAACATTACCTTAGTGACACCGAAAGGCTGCAAGAAAAGCTGTTAACAGGAAACAAGGTTCAAATTCACAGACACAATACCTGTCCTGGAAGACAGCAAGCACCTTCCAGACCCTTCTAAAACACGTGCAGTATTTCAAACAATCAGCCCATAGGAGCCTCAGCCAGGGCTTTTGTTGGTGCTGGTGGAGGGCCCAGCACCCAGCAGTTCTTCTCACCGAGTCTCTGCTGGGGGAAGGAAAGCTGGGCTGGGAACTAATGTACATGTATATTGAAATGTACCCTAAAAAAAAGGCAAGCATAGTTTGAATCTAACAACTATAATCCTGTACATTTAGATCTCTGATTTCCTTAGGGCCTCCTGCTAGCACAACGTGTTACAGGATTACAGCTGGGTCATAAGGACAGACAAGAAATAACACACTGATTGTCCCCTCTGGGACCAAAGTAAAATTTTGGAGTTATGCAGAACTGTAGCCAGGGAAGAAAAATAAAAATCCAGAAGAAGAAACAAGCAAGAAGCAGGACATCCCAGCTTAGTTTTCACAGGAACGTGCCTGAAGTTTCGATCTTGACTATCAGTGCAAGTCACAGCATGAAGATACCTTCTCTAATCAATCAAAGAACATTTCAGATAGGATTCAAGTTTGCCAAAGATCTGGAGGACCTTTGGAAACCTTGTGATTTATGTATTTCTTGGTTTATTTTTACAACGTAATTGTTAATGGGCTGCTCTGTGCCCAAGCCACTCTGTTCAGCAGGCACAGGGTGTTCTGCACTGCCCTTCAGCCAGCAGTGCCTCCTGACAGCTCTGTCCTGCACACGAATCCAGAAAACCACTTTTCACTCCAGCATTGCGAGTTAAACGGCGTCTCAAGATAAAAGCAGCCCTGAAAGCTCTCATCTCCAGGGGGAAAACAATGACCGTGGACCAATTCCAGTCCCCAGGAGAGCCATCTCAGTAAGCAGCTGTCATTGCTGCAAGATTGCTGTGACAATTTCTACTGTCACTCCATCCCTCTGCACTGTCAGCACGCTTCCTATAGGCCATGAACTCTGTCAGTGCACACAAGGTACGTGCAGAAAATCTGATCTGCACACCTTTGATTTGCTAACCAGCAGATGCAGCGTTACAACGGTACAGAAGAAAAGCCAGAACACAGAGCACGTATTTCTCTATCCACTTTTCTGCAAAGTTTTACAGCTGAAAACGCAAACCACTCCACTCACCATAAGCAGGAACAGATGTACAGTTTATGACAGGAGACTCTGTTTCCAGCTTCTCCGAGGGTCAGGAGCCTCAGCCACACCCAGGGCTGCAGGACACGCACACACACCAGTACCAGGGAGCTGCTAAGAGGACATCTGCACGCAAGGTGCACGTGGCAGCCTGGACTCAAACCAGGCCTCACCCAAACAGCTGTGCACAGCCCTAACACTTTGTGCCCCTGGGGAGGGACTGAGTGTTGCAGAATGCCTGCATCCCTCCCACCAAGCCAGCAGGCATCAGGTAGAGATCGCCTTGGAGATGCCTTCCCTGCTCAGTGTCTGAACACACACTCAGAAGCTGTGCTGTGCATTTGCAAAGGCAGCAGGACCAAGGCAACAGCACTCAGCTCAGCATCCCAGCAGCTGCCAGGTCCTCTTCAGAGGCAGTGCTCCAAGCAAGGGCACCCAGGGCACAGGAGCAGAAGGGACAAAGTGTAGGCTCCCTGCCCTTCAGCATCCTGCTGGCACGAGGGAGATAGTCTGTGCAATTTCTACTTTAAACAAATATCTCACAAAAAGCCCTTTTTCACAAGGACACAGGAATGAGCAGCATGTTTGTTTTTTGGTTTTTGGTTTTTTTTAGGTTATAGTTTCTGGTAACTCGTGAGCAGCAGATCATGAGCAAGTATTTAGCATCATCTGACAGCATGTTGGCAGGGCTGTGCCTTCAGGCACCCAACACGAGACAGAAGCACAGCAGGAATTTGCCAGGCGCTGCCAAGGGATGGGCAGACCTGAGCCAGAGGTTGCACCACCCAGGACCTGCAAGAACAAAGCCCCAGAGGACAGAGCTTCCACAGGTTGGAGATGCTCAGCCATGCGTTCCTACACATGAGCTCCTAGGAGCCAAATTCTATACGATACCCTGTGTCTGCAGATGAAAACATCATTATCTGTTGGACTCAATGATCCTTATGGGTCTCTTCCTACTTGGGACGTTCTGTGATTCCATGTGCACACTCCAAAGGAGCTCTCCCAAAGCTGCCATCCATAAACACAACTGGAGAAGCACGTGCAGCCTACTGGCACACGGTGGGAAGCCCATACACAGACACCTCTTCCTGTTATCGGCAGTTCTATAAACTGCAGAGCTGAAATTATCATAAAAGATAACAATGTGTTTAAGCATTACCTTAAAGCAGGAACTGATGCAGCACAATTGCTGGACACAATGGTCCCATCCAACTCAGGGCATAATTCTGTGATTCACACCTCACCGGAGGTTGAGTGTGACTAAGAAAGTCAATGAACCTGAATTTTATCCATAAACAAAAGACTTAAGTAAGTTTTTCCAGGGTTTTTAATTACACAGTGAGCATATCTGATAACAGTGACTCCCGTTGGCTAGATATCTAAGAGCACTTCAAACTGAGAGCACCTCCTTTCATGTCCTGGATCTTTAATCAGCGCAATTATAACTAAAGGAGCATTCAAAGGCACCATTTCCAGCTCACACACTCAGGCACATCGTTGAGCAGCACCAACTCCAGGCACACCTGAAGCAGTGAGGAATTCACCTCCAACGTTCTCTGCACACACCATGATCTATGGTGCAGAGTTCCTTCCCATGCTCAGCAACGTCATCCCTCCTGAGCTCCAGAAGTGGGATGGAGGTGAGCAACTGAAGGAGGGCTGTGTTAGGACAGACCGATTCATAGCACTCTCTGGTTGCTAATCCTTTGCAGAACTGGGATTTGCATACTTCCAGCAACGCCAAGGGCTATGAAAGAGGCCAACGCATGTCACACAGCATCATCAAAGCAATACTGTCAGATCTTTCGTTGTCATCTTTACAAATGCCGAACTGAGAACAGGGAAACATTTTCCCCCGGGGCTGCACGTGCCGCTCAGCCCTTCCGTAAGGAGGAAAGAGGACCGTGACCCCGCTGCACCCTCCCTCCCTGACACAGCTGCCGGTGCCCCGGGTCGGCGGCTCATGAGAGCAGAGGGACGCACCTCGAGCACAGAGCAGGCAGGGCAGCTCCAGGTGGGCTCCGGCTCTGCGTCCTCAGCACTAAAGACGCAGCCAAAGCTCTGGAGCATCACCAGCTGCGTCCCCTCTGCCGTTAATTACCGCACCCTCGGCAGCCTCATTCTGGGACTCGTCCTCACATTCATTTCCAGTCCCCGCAGTACAGAACTGTCAGCAACCACCACAAACTCACACACTTGCTTACTCCGACCGCAGAAAAAATTGCCCTCGGAACAACGATAACGCACCTCCGTGTTATCAGAGCCTCGCAGACACACGTTCGCCTGCACGGGAAGCAACCCAACCAGATGGAGGGGATGGCCGCACGGTCCTCCCTGAGCACAGGGCACCGCCGCCGCTCCCGGACCCGAACTTACGGACCTACCAGCGAGAGCGGCACTTCTCATCGATAGCACGGCCTCGGAAGGACGCGCCAGCGTGCGGCATCGCCGAGAACGCATCGCTCTCCCTCCCCGCGGTCCCGCCCGTCTCCGGCCATCGCACCGGCTCCGCTCCCGCAATACTCACGGGCCCGCACTCCGCTCGCCAGCGGCCCGGCGCTCACGGGGGCAGGGCGCGCTCCTCCCCGCGCTGCAAGCACGCACCCGGGCCGGCGGGCACTGCGGGGCCGCGCTGCCGGCGGCGGTACTGCAACCTCCCCCCCCCCCCAGTACTGCTCCTGCCTCCGCCTTCCCGGCACCTGCTCCACCGCCCCTTTGTTGCCGCTGCGCATCGCCAGGTCCCCGTACCGCGCTGGGAGTGGTGCTGGGGCAAGGCGATGTGCACGGGGGTCCTGTTGGGCCGGGCTGCGGGAGGTGGGGGGGAGTTTCCCGTCTTCCCCCAGAAATGTCTTTGTGGCTACGACGCTGTTCCCTGCCCACATGCCTTTGGGGAAGCAAAAGTGATCTTGCCCGTGAGCTTGCCCATATCATAAACGCAGAGAACGCTGGCAGAGCTGCCGCCCCTTCTGAGCAAGCAGGAACCAAGTCCCGCTTGCAAAGCGCACCGTCTCCTGCCAAACCACAGCCCTGCAGCACCGACCCATCTTCAACCTCCGTGCCAGACCCACGGGACCTGAGGCCGGGCTGAGTTTGCTAAGTCCCTGCCGGGAAGCCCAGGTCGGAACCCGTGCACTCCTTGCCGCGCCACTCGTGGACCCTCGGCCACCCCACAGCCCCAATGCCCCCTGATAGAGCAGCTCGCAGACGGCCGGCAAGCTGCACGCCCCCGCCTCCCGGCACCGCGCAGCTCCGCTCCCGCTGCTCGCAGACTCCCACCCCACGCTGCCAGAGGAAGGAAGGGGACCACCCACGGAAAAGAGAAGCTTTCCCCCGGCTCTGGAAGCGTTACAGAACGGGAAGATGAATGGAAGCGATCCACTCCGCGGGGAACCTCACCCACCTACCCCACCCTGCCCGGGGGCGGCCGGATCCGCTGCGGGGGATGCAGGGCGCTGCCTCGCCTGGCTCCATCCCTACCTTGTGCCGCGCTCCTTAGCGGAACAAAGCCGTGCCAGCCCTTTGTTGGCGCCCTCCTCCCACGCCGCAGCAGCGCAGCAATGGCAGGGTGACCGCGGGGGAGCAGGCACTCCTTTATCTTATCTGCCCCACTGGAAGAGGAACGTGCTCTTATTAAACTCCAGAATCCTCGTGAACTCGTTGGAGAGGCATATCGAGGTGGTCCCGAATTCTATTTATATTCAGTCCCATTTTCAATTCCTTTGTTTAAAGCTTTCACAGCCTGATGAACACCGAGCTGCCACCGCGTGGACCTGCACAGGTGGCTGCACTTTGTGCAACGGCAGGAAACCTCTCCTCGAAGGTCTGGCCTCAGGGCAGTGAAAGCAGCTACAGAAGTGGGAGATCAGAAGCACCCCCAGCCCAAATCCCTTTTGTCCACCCTCGCTTTCCCGTGCAGCCCTGCCTTGCCAGCAGCCACTGATGGACATGTCGCAACCTGTGCCTTTGCCAGGGCTGAATCACCCTGCGCTTGGAGAGCTTCTCCCACTCTCTTTCCAAAATCTCTGTTAGTGCAATTTCTCCTATGTTCCCAGAGGGCATGAAGAGCAGTTTACTGCTGTGCTGTGTGGCAGTCTGTTATATACTGAAAGCTTTACTCATCTCCCTTGCTTCCCTCTGCATTTGGCAGCGGCAGTCTGCCCAGCTTGTCCCTATGGGTCACATCACTGTGCTCTACCATCCCTAATGCCATGGCATGTCCACATGTCTCCCATAGCCTCCACATCCCATGCTGCTCTCACAGAAGGCTGCCACTGTTTACTCATGTACCCCAGTGGCCAAGCTTTTGCCCTGAAGAAACAGGGTTTGTCCCTGCTGCATCCTCGTAAGAGCAAGATGCTTCCTACTGTCCATATTCCCTTGGGTACACTTTCTGGGCAAAAGTGAAGAAAAACAGCAGTTAAGCCAGTTTGTTTCCTCCTTGGCCAGCTCAATTCAGCTCTTGGGGCCAAGGGAGGCTATGAGAGCCTCATTGTGCCCATTTTGTATTTGTCTCCTCTCACTGTTGTGATGTAAGCACTCAGTAATAAATGTGGCACATTTAACGGGTGGAGAAATGGCAGACCCTGGGCAGCAACAGCCATAGGGAGGGATCTTAATCCCTGCTGGCACACTGCATATACCCAGCAACAACTAGGAAGGTTCAATTGTCTCGGATTGCACTTGCAGACAACATTACAAATGCAAGTCTACACACAGCCCCAGCTTAATAAAAAATAAAAGGCGGATCCCTTTTTTGCTGGAAAATTCTGTGTCACCGGGTTGCAGCACGAGGAGGAAAAATCTCACTTGAGGCCAGGATTCTGCCTAGGGAAGGGCTTAGCACTGAGCCTGTTGGCCAGATTTTCCTCACCTTCTGCCTGCACAGGTGGTGGGTGCAGGCTGGCACCTTGCTCCTGTCAGCTCCTGGAGCAGAACAAGGGCTGGAACTGGGCTTGCTAGCAGCTCAGCAGAGCAGTGCATTCATAAGCAGGCAGGTGAGAGCACCCCAGCCTTGCTTCTCACGCCATGCTTCAGTTCACATAAAACCAGCACACATCCAGCCATCATTTCCTTTGTTGTCTTCACACAGGTGAGTGTCCACATCTAGACAATTAACATCCAGACAATCCCTGTAAATGGCATCCCAGCAGGGTGATGTATGCTGCCACTGGTTTTGGCTCCTTGCAAGTAAGAAATGGGAAAGAAAATGGGAAAAGAGGAACCTGTATATTTTAAAACCTAACAAAACCGGACTATATGAATGACTTATCTCCCCCAGCCCCTTGTGATCACCATGCTTAAGGCCAGAAAAGTCCATCAGCCCTGATAACCTAGCAAACAAGGACATCCTCTTCTGCAGAAAAGAAGGCAGCGTTTGGAGGCTGCAGCACAGCATGCAGGGAGCATGAGGCCTTTGCTGCTGCTACAGAACCTGCCAGCAGCTGAAAGCCACTTTGTAGGAAGGTTAAGTTTACAGTGTAACTGAAACATCTTTAAATATCTGCAGCAGGGGCATCTTGCTAGAAGTCCAGTCCTGTCCAAGCTGTAAAGTGGCTGGGGTAACACTGAACACAGCTGGGATGTTCCTGGGTGAGCTGTCAGGAGCACACAGGGACAGGGAGGATGTACCTCTCCATGAGGACCTGTATTTCTCCACAAGGACCTGCAGTTAATTCTTTACAAGCTTGTTTCCTGCAGACCAGACTTCCCACAGCCACACTGCTGGATGAGGAGGTCGTCCGTGGGTCACAGCCAGCAGCCTGGGAGCTCAGGGATAAGCAGGGGGGATTCCCTTGGATGAGAGAAGAGTTCTCCAGCCCAGGCCTGTGGCAAGAAATGCTTCCTTGCAGGGCTCTGTTTTATTTCCCACACATCCACAGTTTTTCAGACCAGCAGGTTAGTGGTTTGCACAGCTTTTGGGACAACAAAGTTGGTGGCCATCTTCTGAAGATTTTGGGGGACACATCTTCCACAGGAAGGGGAACGGCTCTGTGCTGTGGCTGTGATGGTACTTCATCCAGCTGTCAGCACCTGCCATTGGTGATATGCAAACAGAGCTACTCTGGCAGCTCTGTGCCATAACACAAAGGGCTCCCCGAAGGATTAGTGGG